CTGCCTCTGATGCTCATTTGTGTTGAGCTGATGACTTATTTTTGGTCTCTGCTCCTTCAGACTGGCTACTTTAAGATGGCTAACTGGGGCCTCAAGGCTGCTCAAGGCTATTCAAGGCTATTCAAGGCTACTCAAGGCTACTCAAGGCTATTCAAGGCTGCTCAAGGCTATTCGAGGCTATTCGAGGCTACTCAAGGCTATTCGAGGCTGTTCGAGGCTGCTCAAGGCTGTTCAAGGCTATTCAAGGCTACTCAAGGCTGCTCAAGGCTATTCAAGGCTACTCAAGGCTATTCAAGGCTATTCAAGGCTATTCAAGGCTGCTCAAGGCTACTCAAGGCTATTCAAGGCTATTCAAGGCTATTCAAGGCTGCTCAAGGCTATTCAAGGCTACGCAAGGCTATTCAAGGCTATTCAAGGCTACTCAAGGCTATTCAAGGCTACTCAAGGCTACTCAAGGCTACTCAAGGCTACTCAAGGCTACTCAAGGCTGCTCAAGGCTATTCAAGGCTATTCAAGGCTGCTCAAGGCTATTCAAGGCTGCTCAAGGCTATTCAAGGCTATTCAAGGCTACTCAAGGCTATTCAAGGCTACTCAAGGCTACTCAAGGCTACTCAAGGCTATTCAAGGCTACTCAAGGCTACTCAAGGCTGGGCAGGTGGCTTACAACCGGTTTAAACATTAAATGGAGGCATCTGGGGTCAATACAGAGGGCAAAGAGAGACTGGAAAACTGAAAAACAAGATAATTCCCTCACTCAAAAACTCCCAGACCAGAGCTGGACTTTTTCTGGATCTTTGGTTTGATTTAGGACATTTCCTAATAAACTTAAAATACACCTTTGTTCTAATTAAATACATTTATTTAAGTAGATTTGCCACCTCACATAAGTTAATAAATTAACATGAAGCTTACTTGTAGACTGAGTCACTGCCATAACATGTTAACATCATTTACCCAAAATTATCATGTTATTATAGTTTCCAAAACGTTTTGGGAATTCTGTATTTAGAGGTTAACTCCTTCTTAAAGACGTAAAGTATCAGTCAGTAAACTTCCTCTGCCTGTGTTTTTAGGAGTAACAGCCCCCAGATTAGCCACCAGCTAATGAAAGCTGCTTAAGTCTCTCTGTGCAGCTCAGGACGCCCAAACTCCAACAAAGTACAAATAAATCACGGGATCAGAGACAGAAATCCCCCTCTGAGTCATTTCCACCGTAATCCAGAGCCTCACAAAGTAAAGCTGGGCTCATCCCGGCGTCCACACCTGCCCGCTCTGATCTATTATTCATTTATTATTCGTTCATTTACTGACCTGCCACTGTTCAAAGCTCAACTTAAAACGTGTTTGTTC